TGTTTTCCTGTACATTTTCAAATGCAGTCATCCTATCCAGATCATGACCTAGATGCTCTGTTGAGCACCCAACATCAACAGCAATAGTGACACTTGTAGCAAGAAAAAATAAAACTCATTAAACCTGGAAAACCACTGAAGAAATCTACTTTTCTGAACTATCTGTTAATAAAGAAGTTTAGATGCAGAGCTGTAAATGAACAAACCTGAATCTTTCATTTATTAGGGTTCTTTACTTTGTATAGTTGTTAAACCCCTGAAGTTTTCCTGAACTTATGCTTATGAACTGAAGAATAAAACTTCAAAAAGAGTTTAAATAGGATTACCCAGGCTAAATCTCAGGCTTCAATACTCTGCTCTTTCTTGATCCATGTAGAACACTGCCTGTTGATAATGCAGGGCAGATGGTGTACAAACCCCCAGCCTCCAAAAAAAAAAAAGTGTTAGCACAGCTTCATTTAATAGGCTGGAAGTGTCTGGTCTACATTTTTACCCTAAAACTTAATCTGTTTAACATGGCTAGGAGAACAATATTTTTTACTCTGCATTCAGAGTAACTTTCCATGACAAACACTGGGGAAAAGTTTTAAATAAGTAATGAAGAATGGGTCTTTTTTTCCCCTCTCTAATTTCTTGCATTTTCCTATTCCACCAGGAGCCTCTGCTACAGCTTTCCCAGGTTCAGCCAGGCAAATCATACACACATTTTCACCATCCACTGCTTATTTTGTTGGTTCTCAGCTTGGGAACACAACTGGCATAATTTGCTCTGTGCAAGGGATTCCTGGAGGGTTTGTGGCAATCTGTGAGCCACAACCAGCTCTTAAACCTGATCTATTGACAAGTGCAGCAAAAAAAATATATAACAATAAAGCTTTGCTGTTTATTTCTTCTAAAGATATCAAATCATCATGCAGTGAATGTACTTGTTCTCTTCTCTGCCAATTCTGTCAATTAAATAAAAATCCTGGTCATTCTTTCCCTTTTCTGTGACTCTTCAGTTTGGCTGAAGATTTATTTCCAGCAAAGTCTCTTATCTTTCTCACAGGACAACAGAAACTCTCTGCCCTAAAGTGGATCTTTCCCCTTAACACAAAACATAAACCCCTTTGGTTAGCTCTTATTTTGGGGTTTGTATTAAGCAGTCACACAAGCCAGTATTTATGAAGATATCATAGTGCAATTCTAGGTTTCCATAGACTTTCAGTTAGAAATAACATAATAAAGTAGTCACATGGCTGCACTTTCCAGCCATTCCAGGAGGGTTATTAGATTACAAGAAGCACAGAAACTTCTGAATGAGAAAGGAAATGGAAATGTCTGGTAGGACAACACAGGAAATCAGCACCAGAAGAAAACTGGTGAGAATGGCTGCTGAACAAGCAGGCAGGTTCAAAAGCAGCCAGAGGGAAGCAGGTACATGAGGACACAGAGCACCATTTTCCATCTTTCATCCCAGTACTGACCTACTTGGCATTACAAAGACATCAGATCTTTTGTTGCTGAAATACTTCTGTAAGTCACAATAAGGAGCTTGGGTGCAAGCCCACCTTGGCTTCACCCAGCCAGCCGGCACGGTTGATTGTGGGGGACACTCCCTGTTCCTCAGGGGGGTTTGGGGAGCAGCTAGGGCTGTCACCAGCCCTGGGATGGAGGAGAAGCAGTGACATCCGTGGAGAAAAGAGGCTGACACTTAGCTAGGGTGCAATCCAAGGTTTATTATGAACTCAGAAGAGCCCCACACCTCAGAGAAACCAACAGCAAAGAACCCCAAGCTGGGCTGTGCAGTTCTATATAAAAGGGGTGGGAATCACCCACCAGCCAATGGAGAAACTTGGGGGAGTGGAAGGTGGTAAAACAGACAGGAATAACATCCAGTGGAGGAGTTCAAGGGAGGGACCCCTGGGCCAAATCACTCAACACCTGTGTGGAAGGTTCTGGATAGGTGGGCTGGGGAATCGAGTGATGGACACGGCACCAGGGAGGGGACAAGAGAATGACCCAGCAAGTTCTGCAGGAGACAGGGGTGGGGAGAAGGTGATTGACGTTGAGGGAAAAGTTGGCAACTTAGGCCAAAACTATTGCAGGGAAAATAGGAGGGTATAGGGATAAACCATTACGGAATGGATACAGAACTTAAAAACATAAAAACAGAATACAACACTTGGGGTAACAGCCAGTTTTACATTTGCAAACCACCTTCTAAAAAGTTACTTTATAAGACCCAGTTTGGCAAGTTTCACCCTTCCAAAAGGGCATGCAAAATGAAAACTGAATGGAAATCTCTTTTTACCTCCATTGTGGGTTTTTTTTTAACTTCTAAGCAATGGCCTGTCCATCTGCTGCCTTCCAGTATGGAGCTGCCCAGCTCTCCCCTGCCAGTGCCTCTGGCCAGACCATTAACAGCAGAAATTACTAAATGCTCCTCTAACTGATACTTGGCCTCACACCAAAGGAACTGTTATGCCCAATCATGTGTAGCACTCATAATATTAGACAGATTTAATTTTATTTTGTTTCTAATAAAATAGGTTAACCATTTAGTCCAGTGATGGAAGCCAACTCTTCTGTCAGCCCACTATTTCTCCATTTTTTTTATTTAATTTGTTATTTGTGTTAATATTTTCATTAGAACCAAAACAATTATGTAATAGCTGTTATTACACATTCTACTATAATTATTCCTGGCTGCCACAGCCAGGATTCAGGATTTTGGTGCCCAAGATGCTGTGTGCTCTACACAGATAGGATAATTTCTCTGCAGACCTCTGACACTACAGCTTCATGTGAGGTAAAAGACAGACACAAGAGCCTGGATCATCCCATAGGGTTGAAATCAGTGGGTCAGTGTTAAAAATTCTAGGGAAAAAAGGTCCAGAAAGGGTGGGGGAAAAGGAAGAACATGCAAAGCAAATTGAAGCAATCAGGGTTCTGCTTTCTGACCAGGCTGAGCTGGCTGATGGCTGATGGGGTGGGTTTTGGGTGTTTTGGGGGTATTTTGGGTTGTTTTGGGGGCATTTTTGGGGTGATTTTGGGGTCCCACCTGGCGGAAGGTGTGCAGGAGGTTGGGATCTCTGTCATGGCACTGTTCAGCTGCTGGAACCCTGGTTACTGAGAATTTTAGACTTCTTTTACCCCAAAGAGAACTCTGCATTTGACCGAGGCTGTGGAGAAGGCTTCCAAAATGGAATGATAGCACTGGGATTTTGTGTGTGGAGTTTGAATAGAAGTGTGTGATATCACAGGGTGGAAAACTTAGAGTTTAAGGGTTTAGAATACAGTAATATATATACAGCAAGATGGAGGCCTAGGGCCAAGGTTGGTCCTACTTCTTCACCTTCTCCTCCATGGGTTTGGGTGGTTTTGTATAACTGGATAAAAAGGTTCACATTGCAGGGCATGGGTGGTTGGTTATTGGGTTAAAAGTAAAAATAATTTAGTTGTCATTTCTTACTTGGACAGTTTATCCTTAAACAGCCTTCTAGGGAGAGAGATGGGGTTTCATTTTTAGTTTGTTAGAGTGAAGTGCTGTAGAACTCACAGTTTGTGAGACTGTGACAGAGACAATAAATAATAAACATCTGAGTCCCAACAAGAAATACCATCTCACACATTTAATCCCAACCCTGGCAGAAAAGAGGTGAAGAGTCCACACTCAGCCACACAATTGCTCTTCGCATCCAAGCCAACAGCAGCCATAAAGCCCCACATTTCCACCAGAGTGTGCAGAGCAGCCTTTGAACCTGCCCAGCTCCACAGCTTCATCTGCACTCCAGGGAAAGCCACTCAGAGCTTGCCTTGTTCCTTTAATCAAATCATGCTGCCCCCACCAAGCTGGATTTTCTATTTCAGTACAATGGTTTTATTTTACTTCAATTTCCCCCGTTTAGGACAATTTTACAGACCTAGCTTTCATTTATTTTCGGTCCCTGAACATTTTCCTTTGCCTTGTGAGTGGAAATTATCTCAGCATCCTCTAATGCCTGTGCTCTTCCAGCAACACTCATTTAGAGGGTACACAAACACCTCCACATGTTGATATTTTGAAATCTGGAGTAATTATATTAATTTCTTTCAAACAGCCTTATGAAGAGTAAAGCAAGAGAAAGCTGGATTCCCTGGTGTAGCACCTGAAGGTGAGTGTCAAAGATAGGAGGAGACAAATTTCTTATTGTAATTTCCCTCTTTTAAAGATGTCCATTAAATACTAAAACAAGCCATTTGTAGGAAATTGCAATAACTTTCAGTGCACTAACTGGTGTAATCTAAAAATAAACTGATATATCCAAAAGAACCTGACACATCCTTGGGCACGTAACACTGAGTGAATGGTAAAGGAGTTATAAAAAACAGGTTCAGGAGTAAAAACCCATAGCAATAAACCCACAAAGCCCCACCCCCAAACCAAGCAGGGTGTTTTCTGGTTCCATTTGATCTCAGACAAATCTGTCACCCACTTGAGCTCACAAGTGACCACTATCCTCACCGTACTCAGTGAAAACTAAGATTTTAAGCACACATTTAATAGTAACAGTTACGCAAATGCTGCTACTCCAGAACTTGAAACATCCACACACAAGGAAAAATGTGAAGGTTCAATTTACCCAAACCTTTGAAACCCTGGAGGTCTGAAGCACCTGTAACCAGGTGCTTCAAGGAAAATTTGCTCCAAGGAAAAAAATATGCAGAAAAACTAAAATAATTTCAAAAGATGCATAACTAGGGCTGAATGCATAATGGCAGAAAATTAAATCTGCCATTATTTTCCATTCCTCAGGATTCTTAGAAGAGCTTCATTCCCCATTGAGAAAGCTCATGTTTTCATTTTAATTTTTCCTTCATTTGCCTCACAGCTTCTGATCTTATCAAACTCCACCATGTTCAGCATCTGCTGAAGTGTTTGCTCAATATGATCCAACAAGCAGTCCAAAACTTCAAGGATAAAGAAAAATTTTTTGAACTGAAGAAAATAGAGAAAGGGGTCATGAGGGATAGAACTGGTGGGGAAAAGCAGAGTGAGTTTATTTCTTCACAAGTCCATAGAATTGAAAGAAAGTCAGAAAGAAAGCCAGAAAGAAAGAAAATACTTCTTTTTTTCTGTTTGGGTCTTACACAACTCACAACGTTTAAAAATTAATAACCAGCTAATATAATGTAATTCCCTTTTCCCCAACAGAACTTTTCTTGCCCCCAGAAAATTCCCAAGATTCTGTAAAAAGAGTTACAGAAAGGCAGTTTTCTCAAGCTGGCATCAACATATATGGTGTTAAAACCACTGAGATTTCTTTTTGTTTCTTAACCAAGGAAAGAAAAGGGTTTTTTATTTAACACATGCAGAGCTCAGCATAAAGACAAATCCCATTCCTGCTGCTTTCAGATCATGTAAATATGGAATTAAAATGAACTTACCTTTTTCTACTGCTACTTCAAAGTCATGCTGTTAGACACAGCCTCCAAGGAAGCAGGAGGGTGAACAATTGTGCTGGTTTCAAAATAAGCAACGCCACTAAGCCCTTTCAAAAGAACATAATTAAAAATAAAATAAAAGTGACCCAAATCTAAAATGCATCACTTAAGGATATAATTAAAGGATATAAAACATATGTACAAAAAACACCCCTAATAAACAAAACAAAACCATAAAAGAGAAAAATAAATAGAGCTAAGAACTTTGGAGTTTTAGAAATTCTGGCAAAGCCACAGGGCTTTAGATGTGTCTGGGTCATCATGAGGGGTTCACTTTGCACTGAGACTAGGTTTAATTTAGTAAATATTTGTAGTCCCACGTAGTGTAAATGTGCAGTGGTCTTACAACCTCCTTTGTGGCTATTTAATGACATGCTGTGATTGGCAGATGTTTACTGATGGAAATGTGTTGGTCAGTGCACCTCTCTAGAAAGAGCCAAGTCTGGGATCAACTGGAACTAAGCTTGAGGTGGATTTTTCAGAAGGCCTTCTGCTAAACATAGTAAAATTTTCATATCCATTAAAAATTTTTTTAAAAAAATTTTTTTTTGAAAAAAATTGCTGTCTGGATTTCATGTGTGCATGTCATGTGCTCAGCCCTTGGATGGCTGCTCCTCCAGGGCACAGGCAGCATCTCCTGAAGGCTCTTTTGTGTTCAACAAATATCCCCCTTCAGCCACTGCTCTCTGATCCAATTTTCCTCTGACTCTGCCTCAGTGAATGCTGACTTTTCCACGATGTGGTTTTGTCTCTGCCATTCTTCACAGAGAGCTCCAATCCCCACCCCTGTGTGCAGCAAACCTTCAGGGCTGCAGAGCAAAGGCACACAGCTCTGTGACATTTCATTCCAGCAGCTCTGCCAGAGATTTAAATTCCCGGAGTACTTAGCACATATTCATGGAGTCCTTGTAGCTCATTAAGGGTCTGTGATTCCCTCACAACCCAGCAGAAGGAATATATATTTGGAAATATCCACTTTCCCCCTTCTCTGCCAGAATAGTTTGCAGCAGCTTCCTCAGCTTTCCATGCAATTCCCCTGCTCTATCAGAGTCAAACCTTGCTGCAAGCTGTGGTTCTAGGCTAAAAGAGCCTCCTCTTCCTTCCATCACAGACAGATATTTTTATATCAGTGGTAGTATGAAAAAAAGGTAACTGGGATGGGGAACTGTCTTCTGAGGGCATTGTTTTACCATCGTATTTATTTGTTTCCCATCTCTTTTGTCGCCTGCCCTGCTGGCAGATTACTCCTGTTGTTAATGCTTCTTTTGTTACTGCTTCTCACAACACTTTCACAATATTCAGGTTTTCCTCTTGATGAAGTTTCCTGGTTCCCACTTGTCCAGTCTGGGCTCCATCAGCTGCCTCACGAGCACATCTTAAACCATGCCAGCAATTCCTTCATATCTGTTTGTTCCTGTTTTCCCCCTCAGCAGGTACCTCCAGATTTGTACCATTTTGTTTCTTTTGAGTTAAATGACTCTCCTAAATCCTTGTGTCATATTCAAGAAAACATTGTGCTGCATTTTCCTCTGGCTTGCTGGAGGCAAGGAATTAAACAATTTCTCCTCAACTGCCTTTATTCTTAGAGCAAAATTAACACTGATTGCACCAGTGCAACTCCTTCTGATCTTTTTGGAGTTTGAAGCCAGTGAATCTCCATCTCCATTCCACCCCAATCTCCAAAATAAAGAAATACAGATACCTGGGGAATGCAGTCAGGGCTGTCCTGCCTGGCTCCCTGCAGTGATAAACTTTGCTTCTGTGGAAGCCACATTGCTCCAGCATCCCCAAGGTGAAATTTGGCTTTGTGTCTGCAGGGTTGATGCTTCACACAGCCCCAGATTGTCGCCGAAACCTCTTTCACTGGCAGAGATAATGAATGATTTCCATTTGGAAAAGAAGTTGGGTTTGGGAGATCTGTGTCCTTAAACCAGGTGTGCTGGGCTGGGAGGGAATTATCCAATAACCCACAGGTGCTTCACTGCTGGTGGCTCAGATGTGGCTCCACCTTGAGCTGAGCCTGGAGATTTCAAACAGGAATGATAGGTCAAGAAAATCAAACAATTCCACATCTAAGCACATGTTGCAGTTAAATGTTTGTCTCAAAATCCAGTGCAGCTATTGCATTTCTCTGTGATCCAGCAGAGCCATGAACTGAAGCCACATCTATCTGAAAAACTCAGGAGTAATACATGATCTCCAGAAACACATCACTTGTTTGACAGCAATCTTATTTAAATAGAAATAAGTTCAAAGACAAAACGTGGCCCCCATACAAAATTTGGATATACTTATTTCAATAGTCCAGGTTTTTGAGATCTCTCAAGAAAAACAAAAAGAAGTATTTTTAAAAAGCCCCACCAGGCATAAAGAATTTTCTTTCTTTTTTTAACATTTTGTTTGGGCTTGAAAGTGAAGAAAAACTACCCAAAAAATTTACAGGAGGGATTTACACTGCCATTGGCAGCACAGGAAAACCAGTATTTTCATAATTGTCCTTGAAATGGGAAAGCTGAGAGCTAACTCATTTAATTCCAGCCCACATCTATTTCATAACATTTGTCAGAATGGGGAGTTAATTTTTCTCTCAGTGGTTGAGAAAACATCCCAGGTAATCAGCAAATCAGAGAGCTCTGTCAGGGAGAAACCCTGAGCTCCTCATCCTAAACCAGAGCAGGCATTTCTGAAGCCCAGGAGCAGCATAGACGGAACACTTGGAAAGGAGAATTTGCTGTTTGGAATTGACTTGTCAATGGTGAGGGGGATGTAATTTTGAAAGAAAATCGATGCAGAGAGATGGCACTGGAGCTGAACAGTAAACAGTTGTTAAATAAATGCCTGTATAGTCTGAACCCAAAATCTCCTTAGTGGTTTTTGTTGGTTTTTTTTTTCTTTTTTTCCCTAGGAAATCAGACTCCATTTATGTTTAATTTGAATCCTGATTTCCTCAGGTGCCACTCACTGCTGAATAAAAAATCTAACCTGAAAGCAAAATTACCAAGACATGTTACAGACAGTCAGTCTGACTGGTGGATTCCTCACTAAGTTCTTACATATTTATGCTAAGGAATTTTCATTATAGTGTTTTATTTTACAGTGAGCTAAATTATAGAAGCATTGCCCTCTGCAGTCAACAGAAGTTATTAAAAATATTGTGGTTTTTTTGCAAAGTCTCACAAATTATGCATCACTTTTGAGAAGATTAAAAACGCCTCTGATGCAGGAACCTGGTAGCTGTTAAATTAACATGGGGACAAAAGGAAAATGTGAGGCATGCAAGAGGGCAGAGAAAACAAAAAGATAAAAGAAATCACCAAACCCTCCTTGCAAACTTCAGCAGAGGGGGTTAAAATCCTTTGCTGGAATCCAAAATGCAAGGAGCTCCCAGAACTTTGGGCCTGTAAGCCAAAGCTTAGAATTAAACACAGGATTTGGTCTGAGACCTTGGAAAAGGCTCCCAAACTTAGGTGCTAAAAGTGAGAATATGGATTGATGGTTTAAAGCAGAGACGTGTTAAGCTAAGTAAAGTTTAGAGTTTAAGATATAGAAAAAATAGAAGTAGTTACAGAGGTAAACAAGGAGTTTGGAATGCAGTGCTGGAGGTTTGTGTGTCATAACTTGATTGGCTAAGAAAGCTGACACTGTAGCATGGAATATTTAAGGATTGGGTCAAAAGCATAAATATCCTTGTTATCAGTGTCTTATTGGTCAATAACTCCTTAAAATGTCTTGTAACTGAGAGTCTTGTGACCTTCTGAACCATGCAGTGAAGATGTGAACTGAACTCACCCTTCCTATGTAGGAGATAAGAGAATAAACCTCATCATCAAAACCACCTTAGAGCTCCCATCTCTAAATTACACAAAACTCCCCACAAGTGAATTGTCACATCCTTCAGTGCCACATTCAGACCAGCAGTGTGAGCCAGAATCCTCCCTTGGCACAAACCACATCAGCTCCCAGCCCTGCGTGCCCAGAACCTCCCAGTGCTGCCCAGCGCCTCCAGCTCCTCCAGGAGCTCCTGCTGGGCTCTCCTCTGCCAGCTCCAGCATCCCTGAGCTCTTCAAGGTGGCTGCCCACAGCACAGGAGCACAAACGTGTCCCTGCAACAGGTGCAAGCAGCAGATGGTTGATGCTGGGCTGTTTTCCTTTGGGGTATTGCCATTGTTTTTCTTCCTCCCTGGTGGTGATGCTGAAGCAGAGTCCAGAACATTTCATTAATTATAAAGCTGTGACATTATCATTTGCTGCAGAACTGCTCAGACTGAGCTGGTTTTCTCAAATAGACAAAATAGGGGGTAGGAAACATTTCAATGCAGAGAGTGAAGCAAAAAGGGCATTTCCTGGAGGAGGTGGTTTGATGCAGGGATTTTAATCCCATATTTAACATACTTCATCTATTCTACTTCCCTCATACAATGTCAAAGACCAATTTGTGCACCGAGTTCAAGAGCTGCTTGAGGGAAACAGGCTCTGCCTTTCAGATCTACCTAGTTGCATTGCAAGTTTTTTTGGGTTTGTTTTTTTTTTCTGCATGAAGGCAGCATCTATTTACCCAAATATGTAATAATAGAGTGACAGCAGTTTAGAAAAAGCAGATAATGAATGCTCAGTTTTGCAGCTGTGGAGTTCATCTCACGTGTTGGCTTTTGAGATCAGGCAAATATATCCTGATCCATGACTGGGATCCCTCAGGTTTAGCTCAGTACAGAATCATTATTCATACTAATATGAGATCTTCTTTAGCTGCCCATCCAGCTTCTCCTCTCTGTGAGGCAGCTTAGAACCCAGACACAACCTTATGATTTGTAATAATTAGCTCTGAATTTCATGAAAAATGCAGTGGCTGAAAGGAGGACCATTGGGAACCTCCATATCCTGGGCCAGAAGGATGCATTTTGGCATTTTATTAAGGATTGTAATTCAGCTGAAAGACTCCAGCTTTATGGTTTTACATTTCTTCTTTCAGTGGCAGATATTCAACTTTGAATGACTCCAGAATATTCAATCATTGGGGTTTATGTTTTTAAAGCCCAACATCAAAAGAACATGGGCACCCTGATAAATTATTGTAGGCTCAGTAAAAGAATTGGCAGGAGGAGAGTTTCTTGTTAAACAAATACATAATAATGGGCACACAGAGGGACAGACAAAACAATGATTTGATATTACTGTGATGATTAAAAAAAAAAACCCAGAGCCAAAGATTTAGATGACTGCTTTTATTATGAGAGATAAAAGCAAATTCCTCAAAGGGATTCATTAATGTAGGAAAGCTACTATGGCTCTTTGAGCAATGAAAGACACTCATGTTTGGCACAATTTTATATACTTTCATATTTTCAAATAATGATTCTATGATTCTGTTATAAGGAGGGAAAAATATGTAATTTAAAAATATTTTATGTTTCATGTTAATTTCATTCTGTAGTCATCAGGGTTTGAGATACGTATATTTAAATGTTTGCTATCAGATAAAGTTCACAGGATAATTTTTTGGGAGGTTGTAGAATTGCTCAACTAAACTGTGTTTGAGCTCAAAATGTTGTCTCCAAGCTGAGTCCTATTTTAAAATAAATTTTCAGATATAATCATTTTGTCATGTCACAGACAGCAAGACAGTCCTATTTGGGCTTTCATATATAGTATTTAGTTTGCATTATTCACCTTTGCCATTAAAATATAGTTCCTGTTTCCAGAATAAACAGTCTGCCTTCTTTCCCTTGTATTACTGATCATAACTTTTGGCACCACAGTATATTAAGGCAATGACATTTTGCCCTTGTTCAGTTTTCTTGTTGGCACAAGGATGAAAATTATGATAAAAACCACGGACAAGAGACAGCCATGAGAATTCAAAAGAGTTCACTCTCCTTTGAATAAACAGCACAAAACCTACTCAGAAGAGGAAAATGGGACTATTTAAGAGTTAAATGATTCTTCTGATTACCTGGACTACAGGAAGTTGATATAGTTCAGCCATACTGAATGCACTGTGCCACTCCATTATGAAACCTTTACACAAAAGGAAAATACATTTTTTTTTAAATTCCCCATTTAATAACCCAAAAGAAAGGTTACAATAAAATCCTGGATGTTCAGCTCTAATGGGTTGAATATGTATTCAGGTAGAAGCAGTCAAGAAGAGTTTCACCCTTAAACTGCATCTGCATAAAGACTTTTTGATCCTGATCTGTTGAAAGAGGTGAGGTGATAGTTGGCACTGACAGTAGAAACTCTAACGATAATAATATGGTAATTTGACTTTTTTTCATAGACTTTTGACTGATACAAGATATTTGGGAAATATAATGTAAAACTAATTCAAACTGCTTAGAGTATCTGGCTAGCAGTGAAAGCTAAATAACCTTTCCTTGAATGTTTGTTTTCTCCTTTGCTTTGGTCTGCTTTTCAGACAGAGGCATTTCAAAGGAAGTTTTTGTTACACAAGGGGTGAAAAAAGAGCATTACCATATTCAATTTCCCGCAAATGTCTGTTGTAGCAGTAAAAGCAGATGGCACCAGAAACAAATGAACATCAACTCTTCTTGGAGTACATCTAATGAGAACAGGTTGGGTTTGATGAAGATAATGACTTTTGAAAATTCATCAATTTTTATGCCACAAAGAGAAATTGCAGCGAACATTTCCCGTAGCGTGTGATCCTTGCATCCAGGCAGAAAGTTAATTTAATGGTCTTTCAAGGGCTGATCTTGGAAAAGGTCTCAGAACTGAGTTCTTGATGAAGAAACTGAAGTCACTCAAAACTTTTTCACACCCAACT